GACGACGACCTGCACAGAATAGGAGATTAATTAATTTATAGAGTTGCTAATTTATAGAGGAAGGTGTAGAAGGGTTCTAGAAGAATCATCATGTATATAATCAGGGATTCAATGTTTAATTTCCTTTCTTTCTTTTTTTATTCTGAATGATTTCTGGATGATTTTACGTCTCTGAGTGTCTGTGAAGGAAACACTTGCCGAATCAAAGTGAAGTGGTATATATGTTTAAATTAATACATTTATAAACATATATATAAAATCTATATATATATATATATTTATCGACTTGAAACCACACTGCCTGCAGAATCCAGCTGATCGTCTTGTGTTTAAAGGCCTTAGTTTTTACCCGTAGATTTTAACGTTTCTTTAACCCGCTCTGTGTCTTTCTTTCTGTTTGTAATTGAACAGCTTTTTAACGTAAATTATTTCACACCCCATTTACTTTTTCTCCAGTCTATCCCCCGTTTCTAGAACTGAAGGACGACTGTTTATATTTGCTTTGGGAACCGACTAAACGCTGGTGTGTGTTTTCATTTTTATTCCATGTTTAATTTTTCTACACATTCCAGCTTTTGGATATAAAGCAAGTGTCCTTCCTTGTTTGTGTCCGCACTCACGGTTCCTCATTTGTTGTTTTTTGGGGGGGGGGGGTTAAAACAGGAGTTGTTTTTTTTTGGGTTAAAACCACTTTAACTTAAGGTTTCTCGTCAGTGAAGGTCGACTCGAATCAGAAGGGAATTAAGGGACCAATGTCTGCTTCCTCGTGTCGGGTTTTGTTCTCTGTTCCTAATATGAAGTGCTTTTTGTTGTTGCCGCTCATGTTTTGTTGTTGTTTTGCTCATACTACTGTCAGCCCCGTCTCCCAGGAGGATTTTGCACATTGTAAAGATGAAATGGATGTAATCATAGTTCACTGTGGCTTTAGACTGTGTACAGTTAAACTATGGACTGTCAAATGTTACGGGAAAATTCCTATGGAAAAAGACTGAATCACTTGAAGAGCCTGTCAAACGGTTTTCGTGCATGCCCGGGTTCTTTTGAGACTATAAGTGTGTAAATTTTACTTTTAGTGTACACAAGAAATTAAAATAGTTATCTTCTCCGCTTGCTTCTGTTTCTTTCGGACGCACATGAACACTTTCATCAACCAAGTCTTGTTTTGTTTAAGGATTTCTCTCAGACATGCAGGAAAATATGTATCAATTCTGGCCAAAATGTTAAAGGTGGGGGTGGGGGGGTAGGTCATTCACTTCAGAAACACTTAGTTATATTCCATGGAATGCTCTTAACATCCCGATAGCAATGAATATATTAAATGCTTTGACAATAAATACATACAAAAATGTGATCTGTGGAAGCCGTGGCGCTGTAAAAAGCACGACCAATCATCTGAGCCGGCCCGGCTAAAGTAACTGGATGAAATAACCCTAACCCTATCTGTGCACAAACTTATCTCCTGCCCTCATTGGTAACACACACTCGCATACTGTAACACACACACTAACTCACATACTGTAACACACACACTCGCATACTGTAACACACACACTCACATACTGTTCTCACACACACACACATACTGTTCTCACACACACACATACTGTAACACACACATATACTGTAACACACACACACACACACATACTGTAACACACACACTCTCATACTGTTTTCTCACATACTGTTCTAACACACACTCACATACTGTAACACACAGACTCACTCACATACTGTAACACACACACTCACTCACATACTGTAACACACACACACACACACACACACACACACACACTCACATACTGTAACACACACACACACACACACATACATACTGTAACTCACTCACACACACATACTTTAACACACACACATACACGCATACTATAAAATAACTGGATCGCCTACCTGCATGTCAGCCTTCCATCTGTGCACAAACTTACCTCGTGCCCTCATTGGTCATGTGCGCGTTCGTGTGTTTTGGAGGAGGGGCTCTGTAAGGAAGTCTGAAGGAAGGGGCAGATTTTTTTCGGCTGCGTATTTTCAAATTCTAGCGCACTCGAGTTGGTTTCTCCATTCTTACCTACCCTACCTTTAATAGAGGCTAACTTGTGCTAACAAATAAATAGACATTACATTGTTTATAAATTAAATTAACCTGTAAAGAAAAATGCCAAAAACATTTGCATTATGTTTGAAGAAATGCATTCAATTCACTGTAAAATAATAATAGAAATATAAAATGTACAAATTAATTTAGTCTTTAAATGGTAAAATGATGTTAAAAAGGCTTTAAATGTAACCTATTTTAATTTAATTACACTATTCACTAGCGTAGTTATTTAACATTTAGAGACTGAATAATTAAGAATGCTACTTATACTATTACTTGAATTAGGTCATATCAATAAAATGTTTCTTTTATTTTTTCTAATACATCATTTAAATTTGTTTTTATTAAATCAAATTTTTATTAGTTTAAATAAAACCAGATCCTCTCTCACCTCTCCTCCTCTCCTCTCAAATAAAAAAAATGTAATCAATCGAGATCAAATCTGTTAAAAAAAATAAAAGACAGGAAGACAAAGATGAGATAATTTTCATTTAATGTATAAAATAAAATTACTAAAGTGCCCCCCCCCCCTCAGAGCTGAATCCTCATCACATTCAAATAATAATAATAATAATAATAATCGCCGTCAGAAGGAAACATGATGTATTGCATAGGAGAAGGCATCGATGTACAGAATCACTTCATCCCTCCCTTTAATGTCCAGTACAAACCTGCAGAGCCACAGAGCTGCTACAAACAACAACAACAACAACAACAACATAATAATACAAACATTTGGTTTGATGAGAACAACCAATCTTTCATTCTCTGGATGGAAACAGACAGAAGAGTCAGGATAAACAACATGGAGCCAGTTTCCAATGATTAAATCGATTAAATCTAAATAAAAAAAGGGTTTGGGAAGTCACATTCTTCATACTTTTGTTTATTTTTATATTAAAAATGTTCAACTTTAGAACCAAAGAACACAGTTTTCTGATATTTTGGATGCTGATACTCTTCTATGAAAGGGTTTAAAACACACACAGCACCATGTAACTTATTCTTCATAACAAACAGTGTGTAATGTAAATATTTTATTAATTGATATCCCTAATTTAGATCCCTGTCTCTAAGTTTTAAATACTGATTAACAACAGGTGGATGCTTACACTGGAAATGTGTTAAAAGTAAGCGATTTGAAGCTGTAAAAAAAAACAAATACAGTGTGAATAGTGGAGGAACAACTACAGGAAGATCTTAGCAATACAAAAGAAAGGGTATTGAATCTTAAAAAAGGCATTGGATGTTGAATTAAATGTTATTTTTTCACATAAGGACACAGTAGGATGCAGTACTACTCAAAGGTGTAACTCCGTGCTGTTACCGCATCTGTCCAGCAGGGGGCGACACCGTTCAGCTTTAACACTGCGTTTAACTGCCATTCAATTCAATCACATTTTTAATATTATTTTCCACTTTTACTGAGTTAGGTCTCTTTACCAGCTTCAGCTCAGATAGATTTTTAACAGAAATACCAGATATTTATAAAGGTTAAGATTTTTTTAAATGCCTGTTTGTTTACATAATGGCATTTTTTGTGTAAAACACACAACATGCAAGGGGGATTTGTTTCATATATCAATGATTAGCAACATTGATTTTAAAGCATTATAATAACTAAACATAAAAGATGTTTTGGGCCACAGATATTTAGATCTGGGCACACATCAGCAAGTTTAATCCCGGTTGAAACGTAAAAAAAACCATTTTATTTAAAGTTTCTATTCAGATTTAGTCATTTGAAACTGGCCCACATGTTTATCCACCCACACACACACACACACACACACACACACACACACACACACACACACACACACACACACACACACACACACACACACAGTGGCATAGGTTGAATTGAATTGCTGAAATCCTAAAATATATTACATAGTATTAAAAAACACCTCCGATCATTTATTAAATGACGGAATATTTCATAGACTTCCACCCAAAAGGACCTCTGAGTTAAGCCTGAACTGAGAGGGCAGCCTTGGTGGGGAAATCTTTTACAGAGAATACATATTTATGTTTCTGTACAAACCAAATATTAGTGTCCAGAGATACAATAAATACACACGGAGCCGCGGGGTAATAAATAATTCATAGAGTTATTTCTGGTAAAGGGAATGTCTGCTTGTGAAAACTTGAGTCACCATTTTACTACAAACCATCAACAACATACTTTCTATTTTTTCCAAATGTGAGTTTTATTAACTCCAGGTTGAAATGTTATTTTTAGAAAGATACAATTTCATTGGTTGAGTTTAAAGTGAGCGCTGACAAACACATTGATTTGAGTGTTGTTGGTGTGGGTATTAGCTTAAAAACATCCAATGTCTGTCAAGTGTAATGAAAAAATACTTTATACATGTATTAGGAGGGAAAGTGTTATGGTTATTTATCTTTTTCTTCCTGCTAATTCTCTTAGATTAAAGCAGGGGTCTCAAACTCAAGGCCCGGGGGCCAAATTCGGCCCGCGACTTGATTTTATGTGGCCCCCCCAAGAGCTAGCAAAGAAAAATAATAAGTTTATTATACGGTTACATGCCACTTTACAGAAGCAGGTTGCCCATAAACTACATGTCCCACAATGCATCTCGGTTTGTGACATGCGCACTGAAGAGACTTGCAATTATTTGCCTTGCTTTCAGACGTAGTTAATTACTAAGTTAATATCCTATCCGATAATAATCCAATTCAGAGGCAATAATGTAATATAATACATTATTTTATATAAATATTATATATTTATATAATTACAACCGGCCCTTTGAGTGCAACCATAATGCTAATGTGGCCTGTGATGAAATTGAGTTTAACACCCCTGGATTAAAGTCAAGAATTTAAGTGAAAAAACCTGGGGAAACATTTTTTTTTTGTCAAGTAAAATGAAATGATTACCTTTCTTTTTAAATAATATTTATAATTGAGTTCCTTGATTTTCAGCTAATTTACACTTGCTAGTTTAGCTCAGGTTTGAACTCAACCAATAAGATGCTTTACTCTTTGTGTTTCCAAAAGTAAAGGTTGTTTTTAAACCAGAAACTGTGACAGACTTAACAACAACAACAACAACAACAACAACAACAGTGATTACTGTTCAGACACAAAGTTGATCTGTAGGCAGGAAGTAAGTCGGATATTATGAGCAACAAACCGGCTAAAGAAAATGAAAACTAGAAACTTAAAGTCTGCTGCTGTTATATATGTTTCCTGTTGTCAAATCCAATAAAAACACAAATAAATGAAATTTGTTATCTGCTTTTTTCCCTTGGATTTGTGGAAAAATACAAAAAACCTCAGACGTTATGTTTCCGTTTGAAAAACAACAATAGGAATAGCTCAACATTCACACGTCGAGATGCTCTTACACTCGTTCTGGACCGAAGTATCTCTGCAGGCGGGATCCTCTTCAAAAAGGTATAACATGATGCATTGTGGGTAATTAAGAACAGGTATTGCTTCGTGACGAGCGACAGCAAGACGTGACGGCGTGATCGAGGTTTTAGAAAAAGGCACTGGATTGTTTTGTTTTTTTATAAATGCTATTGAGATTTCTGTCTTCATCTCATATTTGTGGAAACATGCACCGGCGGTAGAAAAAAAGTCTCTTTTTGATCTTTACAATTTCTCGGACAGCGGTAGGAAAACGGGACTTCAGGCCGGAGTCATCGGAGCTGGAAGACAAACTCTGAGCTCATTGTGTCTCTGAGAGGGAGTCATTCACACGGCGGGTCCTCAGTGTGGAGCTCAGGGTTCTCAACGCTCAGGGACTAAGACTAACTCTGCTGTGTGTGTTTATACACATGATTGGTCTGCGTCACACATTAAAGGCCCGGTCAATCAGAGCTTCACAATCTGCAGGAAAATCAGTCAATCCTCACCAAGTTCAACTCAATTTGGACATTATTATTTGCACCATTGACAAATAGCAAGCTGTCTTGGCAAAAGAGGAGGATGCTATCGTAGCTTATAAGCTATTTTCCTTTATCCAGTTAATTAAACGTCTTCTTTCAGGACATACAAAGTTTAGGAGAGTGACGCGTCCTAAAACCCGGAAGTAAACTCTTTCCGGTTCCTTCGACAAAAACTAATGCAATTTCGGATAATCTCCACATGTCTACCCTACTTTTATAATCTTCAAATCATAAATCTATCTATTATATTTATGATTCGAGAATTATAAAAGTAGGGTAGACATGTGGAGATTACCCGGCTGAACAAAACGTGATCCGTCTCTTGAACGTGTCTCAACCACAGACCTTATTTCGAAACTATCTTCCAAAATCCTGTGGAGAAATTGCATTGGTTTTTGTCGAAGGAACCGGAAGTGGTCAAATGCGAACTTACTTCCGGGTTTTAGGAAGCGTCAATGTGGCACTCTATAGTGAGGATGAATAGCTGTGAGGATGTTCTGCCTGTTAGCAGTTTAGCTAACATGTTTGTTATGCAGTTAGCAAGCTAGCTAGTTCAAAGCCCTGAGAACCAGAAGCTCCGTGGCTAAGTGCTAGCATTTAGGCTAAAGTAAAACAAGGCTCTTATGAAAGATAGCCTTGTTTTATTTAGAGGCTGTTGGTTTTGGTCAAAGCACCAAAAAGAGCTGGAAGAGCTTTTCTTTCTACCTGTAGCTCTGCAGCGTTAACTCACTGAGCTTTAAAACCAAATATTGACCAGGCCTTTATACCGTGTTTACTACTTTTGAACTTGTGTTTAAGTTTCATTAATAAACCACCTGCCTGAAACCTCCAGTGGATTTCTCTCCGTGTGAAATCCAGCCCGTGTGATTCATCAGTGAATTCCCTCAGCAGCTGTGATCCTCCAGACGACCCGGAGTGAAGCCCGTTGTTACTTTGAAAACTGTACAAAATGAACAAAGCCTCACTAAGTTCTGCTCAGCTGCCCACCAGCACCTCCATGATGTGGTCCAGCTCGGCCAGGTCCATTTTGAACGGCTGGTTCTGAGCGCCCGGCGCTCCGAAACCCGACATCGAACGCACCAGATCGTCCGCCGTCACCATGGGGGCCATCTTGGACGGAGGGGCTCCTGAGGGGCCGAGGTCGTACATCGACGTGTCAATGTCTGTGAAGAGGACGTCGTCCAGGGTGAAGTCAGTGAGGAAGGAGTGGGGCTGGGAGGGAGGAGGAGGAAGAGGAAGAAGGGGAGGAAGAGGAGGAAGAGAAGGAGGAAGAGGAGGAGGTTTACTCTCCACCTCTTCCTCCTTCATGATAACATCAAATAAAACCTGAGCAGGAGGCGGTGATGGCGACTCTGAGGAGGAGGAGGGACAGAGTTCCTCGATTTCCTCCAGGGCCGAGGAGAAGCTGTCTTTGGGGGACGGAGAGGGCGATGGTGGCGTCCTGGGGGAGAGGAGCAGGTGCTGGGAAGAGGAAGAGGAGGAGGAGGAAGAGGAGGGAGGAAGAGTGAAGAACATGGGAAGATCCTCCTCCAGCAGCGAGGCGGGGGTGAGGCAGGAGTCCGCCAGCAGTCCGGACATGGAGGAGGAGAGGATGCTGAAGGAGGAGGAAGAGGAGGAGGAGGAAGATGGAGGCTGGTGGAAGCTCTCGTCCTCGCTCACGGTCGATGAAGAGGAGAAGAAGAGCGCCCCGACGCCCCCCCCCTCCTGCCTGAAGTCTCTGTGGATGCGCTGGATGACGTTGTTGATGAGCACGCGGCGCTGCAGGCGGAGGTCGGCGGGCCGCGGGCCGTACAGCTTCATCAGAGACATGTTGAGGAGAGTCTGCCGGGTGGAGGAGGTCTGAAACACAACGCCTCCTGAGGGGGGGCGCCGCTCTTCCTCCAGGACGTCCTCATCATCGTCAAGTTTACGCTTCACCCCGTTACCCAACATGGATCTGAGGAAAGAGACGGAGATCAGAGAGAAGCCACAAGAATAACATTAATAATTCATTAAAACATTTATTACAGCGATTACGCAGCGGCGGCCGAGGCGGGATTCGAACTGGAGTTCCACAACGCCCCTTGATCTGATGATCAACGCTCTAACCCACTGCGCCAACATCATAAATGAAAGCAAGCTGCACAGTATCAAAGATTGAGGGATGAAGAAACTGAAATGTGGCAACAACAGATATTGAAAAGAAATGATACACTCGGGATGCACAATCTCAATCTCAATATTCAAGTTGCAGGAAGCACAATATTTAGTAAAAGCAAAATATGCAAAACATAATTATTAGAATGAACCCAACATGGATCTGAGGAGAGGAGACCCAAACAGATCAGAGAGAGAAAATAAGAAAGCTGCACTGCGTTAAAATGACAGAGAATAATAAAAACGTTTTTTTTTTTTTATTTAATTAATTTTTTTTATCTTTAATTAAACAAATTATGCATGTTTTTTAGGTAACATTACGCCGTCTTTGGCTCTTTTCTGCTGTAACAAATGTAACTTTCCCCTCTGAGGGGCTAACAAAGGTATTCTGATTCTGAGAGAGTAAAGAAATATGATATACTCGGGATGCACAATTGACAATATTTGAGCAAAATCTTAATATGGAAAGTTGCAATATTCAAGTTGTAGGAAGCACACTATTTAGTAAAAGTAAAATATCCCAAAAAAATATATTGCGGTTCATCAGAGAAGTGCTGGCTGCAAAAGTATTCTACAGACTATTTAAACAAATCCTTGTTCGGTACAGATCCATCAATATCAAAATAATCACATTGCGATCATTTCATTTTATTTTCAATGATATGAATCATATTTCAAACCGATCATTACCTCCAATATCGTGAAAGCCTTCTTTGTTCACAGCAAAGCATTGACTTTACGCAACATGAAGCCCTAAACAGTTTAAAAAAGGTATTGAATACTTTGGAAAGTATGAATAGTAGTTTTGAGGCACAAAGTTCATGTTAAGGGTCTTTCTTGGGCTTTGAAACTTTGGAGAAATCAAATCTGGAAGATGAGCGGCCTTCTCACAAACTGTGATGAGAAATGTGTGTGTGTGGGTGTGTGTGTGTGTGTGTGAGCAGTCAGCTGACCTGCTCCCATGTGAGCCTCAGTCAGCTGGTTGGGTGGGAGTCAGTCTGACACCTTCTGACTCCCTGAACAACAAAACACAGGAAACTGGCCACTTCCGTACTGACAAAGAGATGCAGAGACTGAGCAGTGGAAGCAGGATGCTCTGAATGTGTCACACAGGTTGTTCAAACGACAATCTCTATCACCAGTGAACACACACACACACACACACACTTTGCTTGTTGTCTTTAAAGCTGAACAACATTGACATTTAGTCCCATGTGGCAGCCCGCTATATTTAATGATTCACGCACTAACACAGAGAAGCACACACATGCTGTTTGGAGACGGTGTGCGCCTGACAGGTTGTCCAATTTACAGAACAACTCTAGGATTTCCAGCTGCTCTCCTGTCAGCCAGCCTTTGAAATGTCAATCATTCCCAGCAGTGATGATAGTAATTTCAGCAGTCAAAGATTCTCCTTCTCATCAGCAACAATAGCGGCAGCATATATAAAATGCTCTGTGGCTCTTGTTTTAGTGTGGGTTTGAATTTAAATATTTGTTTAGCTCAAACTTGAGAACAGAAATAAAGAACAGGAGAGAGTTCCACATTTCAGTGAAGCCCGATATGAACAGCTTTATGTTCCTAGTCCAGATTGCATTGTTTTATTTATGCAAACTCAATTTTACACCAAGAACAAACTAAGAAAGCAAAGAAGATCCAGCGGATACAAACATGTGGTTTTTTAAGCACACAGTAGGAAGTCATTTTGATATGCTGGAATGCCACGATGAATATTAAAATGCATGAGATCTAAAGTTTATGTTTGGCCTTGAAGACAGTAGTTTTAGTAACGGTGCTATATAGCAAAAATCTACGTTCAGTCTCAAAAAGTGACACCAAAGGCCAAATGGCCTTGCCCCTAAAATGACAAAAATCCAAGCCTGGTTGTGATGCCATAACGAATAATAAACTCCATTGCTGCCCTGTAGAACATTAACATTTATCCACTCCATGAACCCTGAGCCTACGCAGAAAATGCAGGCGCTGGCTTATCTTTGAGCATACCTGATCCACCTGATGGGCCCAGCCTAACTGAGCATCAAAATAAATCCCTAAATATTTCAAACTCGTAACCTGCTCAACTCCCTCCCTGTTGATAAGGACTGGGCTGTGATCAGCTACTGACTTGGGGTCAAAGATCATTTCCTTTGTTTTTTTAACATTTAACACCAGGTTGTGCGCCTCACACCACTTCACGACCTCTTCAATCTCAAGTTTATAAATAGAAATGTCTGAGTCTCTAGTCAGTAGACTGAGTATGGCTGTGTCATCAGAAAACGTTATAATGTGGTTGTGTGTGTGCTGACTCCTACACTCATTTGTGTGTGAAGAGAAGAGGAGAGCTAAGGCAGCCTTGTGGTGCCCCTGTGCTTTTGACCTGTGTGTCAGAGAGGGTCGAGTTTACTTTCACCTGCTGCTGTCTTTCAGTTAGGAAGGAGTGATACCATCTGATGAAGTAAGGATTCACATCCATCTGTTTGAGCTTTTTTAACATCATTTGGAGAAGAATAGTATTAAAAGCAGATGAAAACAGAACAACTCTGGCTGCTGCTGTTCAAGACTGTGAGACCTGGTTAAAAGCTCCAATAGGTGTACCTTGACTTAAATTGAAGATATTAAAAATAAAAAGCCTACATTTTCATCTCTGTTCATCAGTCTTATAATATTATACTTTATTATTTTTTTTATTGAGTCAGGCATAATGTGTTTACATTCATACATTCAATATATATATATATATTTCCCCCCCTCCCGGTCCTAGCTAGTACATTAAATAACTAACTAAATAAATCGATACATGTATAGGTAAAAGTAAAGTAATGTAGAAGATAATATTAAAAGAAAATTAATAGATAAGGGAATAAAGAATAGTAACAGTAATACATGCACCCATATACTCACATATGTATACCCACATATACACATACACATGTGTGTACATACGCACACACATGTACAAATGCACATACAAACACGTACCTACATACATACATGTATACAAAGACAGAACAAATAAATAAAAGAAAAAGAAAAAAAAAATATAAAAAATAAATGATACTAGTATAAGTAAGTATATGATATTATACTTTATAATGAGAAATCAATCCTCCTTAATGCACGTTAAGAACATTTGATTGATCTGTCTCACTATTGAATTGTTTATCATCCTTTAATACATACTTGTATTCCCTTTATCATCCTCTGATGTTTGCTTGATCTGTGTTACCTTCAGTTTATGAGGCTGTACTTTTTCAAAAACAAAAGAGAGATGGTCCAGCACTCAGCCATGAAGTCGGTCAGATATGTGTTTTTAGCTCGTGGGAATAATGGCCTTGTAACGCCGCATGTCTTTCATTATTATTTCAGTGTGGCACAGCCTGATGTCACGAGCAGACAGGGAGACAGAGATTGAAAAGTAAGAATCGCAGCTGCCGTCAGTGGAGGGTGAAGGTGAGTCACTGGCCTCCCCTCCATGTTTCATCTTCATGTCTGAGGACACCACACACACACACACACACACACACACACACACACACACACACACACACACACACACACACACCACTTTTACCTTGTTTCTATTAAAAAATACTGAATGCAGTACCGTTAGGAAACATGTTTTATTGAGTAGAATGGCACATTTTCATCATGTGCAAAAAAATCCTATTAACAACATCGGTGCTTAATTATTAGTCCTTCAAAAGGAAATACATTTTTAACAGTTGAGTAACCCTTTGAAAGGCATATTTGACATTATGAGAAATGGGACTTCTTAGAGTACAG